CGAAAATCTGGCCGTGCTGCTCTGTTCATTCTCCCGACGTCCCGGTACAACTTCTTGGGGACGGCAGCCGCAGGTCAACCCCGCACTTGCCAAGCGAGGATAGCGAGGGAAACGAGGATGGCGGGGCTAGTGAAGACAGCGAGGCTGGAGGGTTTAGCGAGAACAGCGAGGCTAGAGGGGCTAGCGAGAACAGCGGGACTCGAGGGGCTAGCGAGGACAGTGAAGCTAAAAAGGGTTAGCGGAGACGGCGAGGCTTAAGTGGCTAGCGAGAACAGCGAGGCTAGAGGGGCTAGCGAGGACGGCGAAGCTAAAAGGGCTAGCCAGGACGGCGAGGCTTAAGTGGCTAGCGAGAACAGCGAGACTAGAGGGACTAGCGAAGACAGCGAAGCTAAAAGGGCTAGCGAAGACGGAGAGTCTAAAGTGGCTAGCGAGAACAGCGAGGCTAGAGGGGCTAGCGAGGACAGCGAGGCAACGATAAATAGCAACGGCCGATGATGCCACCACCGCATACCTGCTATGACCAGCAACGATCAATATTTGGCAACCGAACCGTCAGTCTGGGGTCACGACAAAACCGGAAAGGAAAGCGCCGTCAAATTCTGCATTGCTGACGACACCTTCAGTGTGCGTGTTTGCAGAAACACTGAGCCCCAGATAGCGCCGCTGCGCTTTGACCAAACATGATCCAAGTCACGGCAGGCTTCGCAGCCGCGCCCCATCACTGACAGCTTGCAGTGCGATGCTCAGGCCGAGCGTATTTTCGTCTGCTGAACGACAATACATGACAATTATGTTAGCATATGGCATGCATAGTGAACGTGATGATGTGCATAAAGACAGTGGTCAAATAAATTCAAAAGGTACGAAATTTTCGTCGAATGATAAGTCACAGGTAAACATGCCCGCTTCTTGTCAGGCAAGCGTTCTTTTGATGGTCGGGCAAGGCCAATAAGCCGTGACATTCCTTGACTTCCGGGAAGTCCTGGGTCGATATTCATACGAATTTTGATATATTTCAGAATGCTGTGCCTAGCTTAATCACAACAATTCTTGATTTCGAAACCTCATGCATTTCAAGGCACCATTCCTAAGTCTAATTTCATTCCAATTTACATTGGAATGAAAAGCATACTGGACGACTCCTAAATATCACTCAGCCTGGGAGGTTTGGGCAAAATCGACCCATGCAATGTCACAAACTGCAAGTGCTAGCAAAAAATCCAAGGTCCGCACGGCCCCCACAAAGGTCACTTGTGTGCTAATATATGATGATCCTTGGTCAGTTCTGCCCAGATCAGTTCCAATGTTCCATAAAGTTCCATAAAGTTCCAATGTGGTCAAATCAGGCAATTTTTCGCGCCGTTTGGGCCAATGCTTAACACAGTTTCTTCCTTTGATAGGCAACATCATGTCTTCAGATCACATTGATATGATAGACACAGCTTTCAATCAGGGAAATGACACATCATACACATCTGCCATCACGTTAGGGTTACCACTGACTTATCGTCTAATTCCGTGCGTCGTTTTGCGCAAACTACTCCGTACCTGTAGTTTTATTGACGGATAAATAAATTAATATGTAACCTACTTCATGTTTACCACCCATTTCGTAACGTCCCCATTTGCAGTAACAAAAAATCTGCTTACAACTTTATTTATCATTCAGTATTTCGAGAAAAAACGAGGGAGCAAATTTTGCTCCTCTTCCAGGTTGTGCGCTAACCGGCGTCACCACCAGGCACTTCGCAGCCCTCGACGGCACAGCGGGCCTGGTTCGTACAACACCCGTACCGATTCAGCTTTTGACGTGGCAGGGGCAGGAACATGAAAGCCATGAAGGCTCTGCAGGTGGCTACGTACGTTATATGTTACTTTTCCGGAGGTAAGTTCGGAACCTCCCTCCTTGTTGCTTCGCAGGACTTCATGAGTTCAAAGTTTCTAAGCTGAAAATTGTCTTCTTTCAGTATAACAGGATGCATTGGTTAATCGACGTTAAACAGACATTGGTCATATTGTGAATGCTCGACGGTATAAGGTGTGCCTATAACCAAGAGCGATCATATGCTCTGCTACCGCGTTCTGATCGTCCGTGAAGCCGCAGAGCCGTGGTTTTCCTCCAACGACTTCGGATTCTGATTCACCTTTGGGCATTCCGCACGGCCGGCTTCGGCTTCCGCTTCGCGTCATTTTAAACAACTAGCCCCAACATCGGCTTCGGCGTTGTGACATTTGTGACAGACGGCTTCAGCTTCAAACAAGCTTTGAGCTACGGTTTCGACTGCACGCAATCTTGAACAGCTGACTCTAGTCTTGTCGTGACCTTTCCACTACATTTGCGGCTTTACTTCACAAAAAAACAATCGTGCCCGTCCCAATGTGGTCATTTTCTGAGGCCTGGGTGCCAAGGATGCCGACATGCGTTGTTGCCCCCTCCCCCTCCCCCACACTGGGAATTCGCTGCCTGTTGCCCCACCCCCCACTCAGCATTGTTCAATCGGTAACGAGTCGGACGACGGCGAACCCGACATCGAAGCGTCTCGGGCTTGGCGAATCAGCCGAGCAGGTCAGAATGAAGGCGTTCGGAATCAAGGCGCAACGGGTTAGAAGCCAAGAGGGCAGGGGCAGCTGAGGAGCCAAGAACCTCACAGCATGAATTTATATTTACATCCTTGACACCTGTGACGCATGCATGGCTGAAAGCCAAAACAAACCGGTCATCCTCCGGACAAATTCACACCTGGCGGCGGCCGGAAAACTAACCGTCCGAAACGTCGTGTATGTACCAGCATACACGGACAGGACACTGATTCATGAATCTTCCATCTGTTCATCTGATGACTCGGCTTATCTCAACCACTCCACAAAATCCTCATACCCAACAGTTTTAAGAGATGCCAAAATGGCCTCGGTTTCGCGGCCATGCTGCATACCACTCTCTTTGGCTTCAATCCCTAAATCATTAACTGAGGCATTTGGCCATTGCTTTGCATCTAAGTTTGAAGTCATTGTCTTTGGCTTTGATTTTGAATGTACATAGTTTGAGGTGACTGGCCCCAAATTTGTCTTCACATTTTAAAGACATCAAAAAACTGGATCTGGCTCCAGTTCCACAATCCACACCTTCAAAGCCACCAGAATTGGCTATGACTTTGTCTTCATGTCACTGCCTTGGCTTCAGATTTGGCTTTGAGGCCGGAAGCCTGGCTTCATCCTTAAAACCAATGGTGATACACTACACTTTGCATGCTGGGTGCAAAAATATTTGAAACAGAGCTCACAGAACATTCATGATGAAGTGTTAAATGGTTAGCAACTGACCCCTGAGCCATATGAGGCCTGCATATTATCTAAATATGAAAACTAACATCAACAAAACTGAAGTGGACTGCATGAATCCCACTCAATTCTGAGATCAGGCACACCCGCCAGTCAATGACTGATACTGGTATGAAATGGTCAAACCCTGCATTTCTCCTAACAAGGGGCAATCCAAGGGGCCAATTACAAGCACCTTAAGTGCCTGAATCCCACCATGCCACAGTGGCTGCAATGGAAAGCAGATACTTTTAACAAGCTCAGGACAGACTTATCAGTTTACTTTTGGTTATTCTTGACTTATGAATTCATAAAGAACAGACAAAAAACAGGGCTTATGTGAAATTAACTTAATGAAAAGCAGAACATTGGTTTACTGGTAAAAAAGTACTCTTGAATGTTGTATTCCAGGCATCTTGCTCCACAATAGTATTTGATTTATGACAAGGCTAAATATCTAACTGAGAAATGTTTCTATATTATGTGAACTAAGCCAAATTACTAGTAGAAAGAAACAGAATGTGCACCAGACTTCAGCCTATCACCAAGCTTATCAGTCAAAATGACTTCAACTGGGCATGGCTTCATGCTCATTCTGAAACTGCATAAGGTGGTAACTTATCAGCATCAATGCCAACATTAACATTCTCTCTGTAAATGTATAAAAAAAATACCAACAACCACACACTTAATATACATGCAACAATTATCACCAAGCTAACTTACCTTGGTCAACTGTGCAATCTTTTTGCACATCCGGTAAATATCAGTGCCACTGCAATCTGTACTGCCTGGTGACAGGCTTCGTATTTTTTGTTGTACTGTGGTTGGTTCAACCAAAACAGAATTGCCAGACCCAGAGTCTGCCATTTCTTCCAAAGCAATGCCTGATGTGCCTCGCAAGACGACTGAGTACGTCAGCGGGTGGCTTAAACGGTGAACTTATTGTGTTTACGAGCTGAACTGAATGAGCTTGGTCACGCAAGGAGGTTCGTTTCGAACATTTCCACGGAGTTTGCAAAGTCCCTCTTCTCTGTTAATGCCAGCGGGCATGTGCCCTGTTCTACTGGCTACCTATCACGATAAGGCATTGTTGAGCATAGGTGTCGAGGCGGCTGCAATTGGCACGCAGCAAGAAATGCATTAAAATTGACAATACTGACGAATTAACGATACCCCGTCTTATTTGTCACTACAACGCCATATGGGTATTCTTGTAAATTTTTATGACGTATATTTTGTGTTTTCTTAAATGGCTACAAAAGTTCGGAATAGCATTTTGAGGTTTCATGGCTTTGTATATACTACCTTATGTCTATACTGTAAAGATGTTTTGTAATCAATTGTGTGACGGATTCAGTACAGCACAGGTTCATAGACTGCAGATTAGTGTCTTTGCAATCTAACGCTTTTCCTCGTGCTCGTTGCATCAGCAAGAGCACGAGGTTCTTTCCCGATGAAATAAACAAGGAAATTAATAGAAAATAGCGCATGTGTTTTTGGTCGAGAAACACAGGCTGTTTTTTCACTTTCAACAGAGCTGAAACCTCTGAATCAATGTTCTGTGCGCTCCGGTTTTGCCCTGGCATTCCGCAGTGCATTAAATAGCAGTTCTTTATCAGGAAGGATCAGGACTCTAGTACCATCCTTGAACCTTGAGCACGTAACGAAAATATTTATTTGCGGCTACTTCATTGTTTGTGTCCGGTGGGGTGGCGTTGGTAGTCGCGGGAGGCATCTGGGGATAGCCACAGAAATGGATCGCCTGGCGTTGTGTGAGATCATAGTGAAATGACTGAAATGGGTTACGCATTCTATACTATTGAGGGCACGCGCCTAAGCAGCTCCCAATTAGCACGCGCCCTTGGAAGGGGCGAAATCCGCCCTGCTCGTTACCATCCCGGAAACAGGAGGTGGACGTTAAGCACATTATGTGCAGGGTAGTTGGATGCTCTGAAAGCTGTTTTAGGAGACGTGCATGACCTTTGGATAGTTATGTGCTGGTGAAATCAGGTTTGGAAATTGATAGGAGCCCACAGTTAGAACAGTCCGCGGTACAGATCATCCACTGCAGTGGATGTGCGTGTCATTGGTGTGTAACGTGTCTGGTTTGCGTCTTTGGAGTGCTGTCTACGTCAAGTTGTGATGAATTTTATAATTATTTTTGCATGAAATGAGTTTTGGAGCATTTTTCCCTGAAGTTACCTTCAGAACACCATGATTGTCTGAAATGTTGGCTGTCTGTGTGCTGAAGTTTTATGTGACATGTTAAGTGTAACATGTATGTTGTACAGTGTGATTGTTTGGTATCAATTCTAACTTGTTAAACCCATGCTCTCTGTGCTGCCATGGTTGAAGTGATAGATGAATCCCAAGTAAAGCATGTCCCCCTTACTGTCATGGGTTCAACAATTTCTGAGCATCCAAATAGGTAACATTTGTAGGATTTTACCTGCTCTTGTTATGTTGTGAACATGGATTGTGAGTATGGAACTGTGCAGTGAGATTTTATCTTGCACCTTTGTGTCTATGATCAGTTTCTGGAATATTGTGAAGTGTCAATGCTACTGACAATTACCTGTATTTTTCCCAAGTCCTTGGTTATATGGAACAATCCTTCCCAAGATATATTTTGTAACACACCTGTTAATTTGGTTGCAGTAGATGTTGTTGAATTAATGCATTATTATTATTAAATGGGCAGCCCAAACCTTATGAATGGACAGGTATTTGGGATCAGAACATACTCCAAGCAGTGTCTGCGGTGTGAGCCCCGGCACCAAGCACTTGATCATGGAGTTTGAGATGTGTGATAGAATTAGGTGACAAAGTGTATATTGCAATAATGCCCAGCATCTCTGTCCTCCCTGTGACATCACCTGACCTTAAGCCGGAGCTGAAAACCATTCTAGTCAAGGGCAAATAAAAAGTTAATGCCTGAAGTGATCTAAACCCTGCCATGGGTGGATGGGTTGGAAGGCAGGTGCCCTAACCAACTGATGTATTTGAATGGACTGCTCAGCTTGATTGTGTGACTGATATGGTACCTCAGCTCCGAACTCTCCCCTGTATTGTGTGTTTTGGTGTGGATGTATGTATGGAGTCAGCTTGCATGGAAAGCCATGATGATAATCATGAAAAGAACATTGCATTAAGCAGCATGTATAGATAGCATAATGCTGGAAATGGGATGCATTTGATATACTTGTAAGTCACAGCCTTTGTCTGACCATTGTCTTGCAGATCAATAATACTATTCATGCATAATCATCTTGAAAAAGGATTGGATCATGTCCATAAACCCATTCACACCACCTGTGGTTAAGAGACTGTTGAATTGGAAGAAAGGTGACGGCGAGGACAAGTGGTCGGAGAAGGCTGTCAAAAGTCTTATCAAGAGATTAAAGAAGTTCCCAGGCTCTGTTGAAGAGCTGGAGAGGGCTATTTCTAGCCAGGACCCAGCCACCCGCTGCATCACAATCCCAAGGTGAGGTTGGTGAAGTGTGTACTCAGTGTGTTTGCAGATTCTCTGTGACGGCCTTGTAGGAAGCATCCTAAATTTTGATGATTGGCTGACATTGATCATTTTCAGTTAGTTCACCATGCATGTAATCTGTAGAATGCATGTTGTGTGATGTGTACCAGGTCATGCCCCTGTGTTTTAGTGCTAAAAAGTACTTCATGTGAGTTCAATTATATTGTGTGTTAAAAAGAGCTCTCTTGTCATTGAAGATGCAAAGTTCCTGGATTTGTATCACTCAGTGCTTTGCTTTATATGGAGTTCTAACATTAATGTCTTCCAGGCACAAGATGGCATTCTGTTGTTGGGGTACCCTCAGGACTCAATCATCACATTTAGAATTATTTTGGCACTCTGATGGAAAGATGCATGTCTGATAGCAAAACTTTAAGTCATGTTTCCATATTGCTACCACTCATATGCGCAGTTAATATTATCACAATTTGGAAAATCTTATATGTGTACTTCAGGAATTTCTCAGTTTTGCAGTTGGGAGTTAAATGGATTTTTGCCTTTATTCTCCACCTAAGAAATGCTTTTCTTTACACCATTTCAAAATAGTTGCAAGTCTTAAGTCATGATTTCCTGTATTTATATGGTATGTGTGATTTTGTCCATGTCATCCTTACAATTCCCAATGTCCCCCCATGTCAGGACTTGGAGATGTGTCAGTTGCCACCCGTATCTGCCAGAAAGCTGTATTTCACATACAATAAACTCGGTCCACAAACCATTCACAAATTATCTGAAATTTCCATCCATAACTCTTTGAATAAAATATCTGTAATTGCCAGAAAGTTTTTTATGAAATGTTTTCATAACTGAACATTTTTCATCCCTGGTTGTCATAAGCTAAGAATGTGTAACCTATTGTCTATCATCCACACTGCAGTACACAAAGCCATGGCGCTAACATGACAGCACTGGACACATGCACTGAAAGCCAATGACCTGACATGACCTTACGCGGCCCGCCGGCAATCACCTGACATCGGCGGTATTGGTGCAGGTCGCTAGACGGCCGACTGCAGGTTTCCCAGAAGAAGGGGCTGCCCCACGTCATCTACTGCCGGCTCTGGCGCTACCCAGACCTGCAGTCGCACCACGAGCTCAAGGCCATCGAACACTGCCAGTTTTCGTTCACGTCCAAGAAGGACGAGGTCTGCATCAACCCATACCACTATCTCAGGACTCAGGCACCCGGTAAGGAACCAGGCCGGCGGAGGCTTCGCGGCTCGGTGTTCGGTGGCCATACATGGTATGACGTAGGTAGTGGTCCATATGTTTCTGCCGTGGTTGCGTGCCTCACTCGCATCCAGTCACTTGTGTCAGTGCTATGATCATTGTGACCAAAAAATTATACTGGCTAGAAGTGACAGATTTTATTCACCATTGGATTCACTAGTTATCTTTCCACACCACTGTTACCATAAGCATATCCTTTTCTATCAGTTGTTGTCAAATATTGATGTCTTGTGGCCAAAGCAGTGATGGGTCAGAGGCACAATGCTGCCACAGATATATATATATATATATATATATATATATATATATGAATCATTTGTATATATGTGTATGGCATGATTTAAATGTGTTCACCAGCCATCTCAAGTTCCATTTACCACATGGGTATCACCTTTTTTGGCAAAGTACTCATATATCAACCATTTTGGTGATGGTCGCACCACGTGCCTCTACACTGCTGCCGTGACTGTGACCTGAGACCACTGCCCGTGATTGGCCGATCTGCGGTGCGCCGCACGGCGCCGCGTGGCCGTCGCCGCTGACCGCCGGCGGCCGGTCCGCAGTGCTGCCGGCCGTGCTCGTGCCCAAGTGCGACCCGAGCGAGTTCCCGGCGCAGCCGCCGGCTGTGGACGAGCTGTCGCTGCTGCCGCCGGAGAACGCGCAGCTGGCGCCCATGGAGCAGGTGGCGCCGATGGAGTCGCCGGCTGCCTCGCTGCCCGACTCGCCGCCCACGTCGTACATGTCCGAGGACGGCGACAACAGCGACCGCAACGACAGTTAGTCGGGATGGCGCCGCGCATCGGGGAGGGCTGTGGGGCGTGCCCCGCGGCGTCCTGCTGGTGACGTACATGCCGTGTTTGTAATTGCTGTATGTATTTACCGTTTTAATTGCCTTTGTGTGTACGGTAACTTGGTTCGACGTCATTCCCCAATTGGTGATGACATGGGCCAGAGCCAGTCAGTGGCTGCCCTGCACATACAACTCTAAGTACAGTGTTTTTTGTGGTTTTTTTTTAGGAAAGTGCATAGCTATTCCGGCTGCGTCCCTTCTGGCCCTGTTTGGTCTATGCGCGTTCGCCACGTGACCTGTTCCGCTCCGTTTGGTTTTGGTGTCCTGGCTGTTTTGGGACTGTAAGCCGTCCTGGCGTCTCCATCACAGCCTGGCTGTCCTGTCCCGCCGCGGTCTAAACCCGTCCTTGGGCACAAGCCGCCGGGCTGCCGCCTCGTCGGCGCTGCCGTCCGTTCCGTTCCTCGCACTGCGCCTCCCTCTGCCGGGTGCTGAGCTGCACGCCGCGTCCGCCAGGTGCGCTGCCGTCGCCGCCGCCGCCGGTGGTGGCTCCGGACGCGCAGCCCGTCACCTACTGCGAGCCCACGTTCTGGTGCTCGGTCAGCTACTACGAGCTGTCGAGCCGCGTGGGCGAGACGTTCCACGCCTCGCAGCCCAGCCTGACCGTGGACGGCTTCACCGACCCGAGCAGCTCGGACCGCTTCTGCCTCGGCCTGCTGAGCAACATCAACCGAAACCCGGTGGTGGAGCAGACCCGGCGCAACATCGGCCACGGCGTCCGGTTCTACTATATCGGTGAGGAATCGGCCGCGGCGGCCGGCGGGCCGTTGCCTGGTCTCCCGGTGGGGAGTGGGGTGCTGCTGTGTAGGCAGCGGTCTGATGTTCGATGGGTGTTCAGGGCGGTAGGTACGGATGGAAGACGCTGTTGGTGTGCCTCTCGCCGATCTGGAGGTGGGCTTGGCCGACGTGCGGCATTGCCTCCAATTGCTGAGAGATTTGTCAACCATGCAGATGACTGTGTCCTTGAATATTTGAGGGAAAAGCTCTGACACATGCATTTTAAGTGCCCAGGAAAAATTGATATATTTGGAAGGCGCGGTTTAAAACGCCCAGCAAAATAGATTTGGAAAGCTTGCCACTGGTAGTTTATGGTTTAGAGTTAAGGCTATTGTCGCCATGCTGTCGGACACAATTACCGTCAGTTGTGTGTAGTTCACATTGTTAATGCTTATGTTTATGTAGTTGCATTGTACAGCACATTGCCTTCGGTGGAGCCTATTCAGACATGTATAGATGTAGTGGTTTCGCTGACGTCATGCGGGGCATGCTGCACCAGTCTGAGCCTTCTCGTCCTTCGTGGTGGGTGGGCCGGGTCTGTTCATTGATTGACGCTGGCTATATGACGTGGTTAGAGGAGGCATAGTCTAATATACAGGTTGTGTCTGTCATGGGCCGTTTCTAGTGCAGCGGCATTTGGTGCTGCTTGCTCATTTATGAACTTTGCCTTATCAGCGGCTGGTAAGGGCACCAAGTAACATCATTATATGGTCCTGAGACGATGCAGAATGCTCATGATCGTGTCCCTGACCATGGTTAGCACCTCATCAAAGTTCAACCACAGATTTATTGTCATGTCAGCCGCGGAAACTGAAATGTTTTTTTATGTATCTTTCTCCGTATGCTAATAATTGTTTTCTGTGTACCTTTCTTTGTATGTTTTACTTGTCATACTTTCTGCGTATCTCTCTCCATATGTTTTACCTTGCAAGGTTTTATGCTTGCGTAAGTGCTGCAGCACAGACGTGCGACACAGCGCAGTTCCAGAGGCGCCTCATTCGGCGCGTGCTGTTGCAGGCGGGGAGGTGTTCGCAGAGTGCCTCAGCGAGTCGGCTATCTTCGTCCAGTCGCCCAACTGCAACCACAGGTTCGGCTGGCATCCAGCCACCGTCTGCAAAATACCGCCCAGTGAGTACGCCGGAGACGGCGGCACGTACCATTTGTCCTGAACCAGCCCTCGAGGCGGCTCCAGTGTGCCGGCTTCACCCCACCAGCGGCGGTGTTAGCGTCCGCCTCTGTCGGTCTGCCCAGCCCTCGGGGCGGCTCCAGTGTGCCGTGTCCACCCCACCAGCGGCGGTGTTAGCGTCCGCCTCTGTCGGTCTGCCCAGCCCTCGGGGCGGCTCCAGTGTGCCGTGTCCACCCCACCAGCGGCGGTGTTAGCGTCCGCTCCTGTCCGCCTGCCCAGCCGACGGGGCGGCTCCAGTGTGGCGGGTCCACCCCACCAGCGGCGGTGTTAGCGTCCGCTCCTGGCGGCCTGTCCAGCCCTCGGGGCGGCTCCAGTGTGCCGGCTCCACCCCACCAGCGGCGGTGTTAGCGTCCGCTCCTGTCGGCCTGCCCAGCTCTCGGGGCGGCTCCAGTGTGCCGTGTCTACCCCACCAGCGGCGGTGTTAGCGTCCGCTCCTGTCGGCCTGCCCGGCCGGCGTGACTAGGCCCGGGGCGGAGGGCCGACCGCGTCTACGCCAGCGTCCGGCCGGCGCTCTGCCGGTACTGGGAGCGGTGGCCGTCCCTGTCGCGGTGGCGTCGCCCGGGCGTCTGAGACGACAGCCCCGACGGCGCGGCGCGCTCAGAAACGCACCGGTGCCCATTGATGGGAGACTGAGGTGTCCGTAGTTGCGCTTGTGCGTGGCCCTAGAGCAGAAGTGGCGCCACATCGCGCCAGACGTAACGTGTGCACAGCCCAGCACAGCCCTCATGTACGCTGGGAACGGGTGCGGTGAGGCGCAGCAGTGTTCTCTTTTTTTGCCTGGACTGGTGACTGCCAGAAAACGTTTTATTTCCTTGTTGTACCTTCTTTTCATCGACGGCTGGCTGACGTTTCTACGAAATCGCTGTACAGGTGCATTTAGGTAGTCTTTTTAGTCAGTGTTGGCATGCGGTAGCTGATTTCACCTTCATGGTTATTCATTGACTGTATTTTTGTTACATTGGGCAGCTATGTTCCATATTTATCACATGCCAACCCATTTCTTCGCATTCTTGTCCTTTGTTTGTTAGTGATGGCAACTAATTGACCTGCAGCAGTATGTGGTATCCTAGCACCCTGTGCGAAATCTGCCTCATGTGCCACTTGGGCGGTGCTGGTGCCGTCACCATGCGACACCGAATGTCACCCGTTTGCTGTCAAAAACGGCGGCCTTGGGGAGCGGGAGCGCGTCAACCCAACAGTCTGGCGACCTTGGGGACCACATCGGTCGCTCTAATCGTCAGCTGACGACGCGTTGCGTTTTTGACGAGTGGCGGAGGACACTATCGTCTGACCCCGCTCCGTCGTTGCAGAGTGTAACCTGAAGATCTTCAACAACCTGGAGTTCGCGGCGATGCTGGCCCAGTCGGTGAACCAGGGCTTCGAGGCGGTGTACAGCCTGACGCGCATGTGCACCATCCGCATCAGCTTCGTCAAGGGCTGGGGCGCCGAGTACCGCCGGCAGATCGTCACGTCGACGCCCTGCTGGATCGAGCTGCACCTGAACGGGCCGCTGCAGTGGCTGGACCGCGTGCTCACGCAGATGGGCTCGCCGCACATGCCCTGTTCGTCCATGTCCTAATGAGGCAGCGTGCGGCGCGGCGTGGCGCCGCCCCGCCCGGCCGCAGTCCGCGGCGCCGGCCGGCGCGCGCTCGTGTGGCGTGTCGGACCTTCTCGACGCCGTCCGCTCCCTCGCGCGGCGGGACGGACGGTGGAGCGGAGCTGGCCCGGTCCGGCGGGGTCGGGCCGCCTGTGTGACGAAGCTCGGCCGCGGCTGCGGCAGCGGCAGGACTCGTGTGAGCCCATCAGACGCGCTGGCGGGCTCGTGCGACGGCGCGGAACTGACTCTCGTGTCCCTAATCCCCCCTCCTCCCCCCCACATACACATTGTCCTGGAAGCTGAGAGCGCGCGCGCGCGCGCGTGCGTCATCCGCCCAGCGCGTGCGAGCTAGTCAGCCGGCAGCCCGCGAGTGGACATTTATGTAGCATACGCGCCTTTGGCCGAAATCCCCGCTGTGAATCAAATCGCCGTAGAGCAGCTCGTCTCCCCCTCCCCCTCCTCGGTGCGCCTGATGCTCTTCACCTCCTCCACGCTCACCTCGCGTGCGCGCCGCGCCTTCTTCCATGGCAGAAGCCAAATATGCTGCAGGGAGTATTGGTACTGGTCCTCGCCGCTCTGACCGGCCGGCACGTGCGTGAGCAGCGCGCGTTCCGCGCCGGCCGGCGCGCCTAGATCAGCCCTGCTGTCGCTTGTGTTGCCGCCGCAGCCACGTGCGCCAGGCGCGAATCTCGCGCGCCGCTCGCGTCCATGTCACGGCGCCTGGGGCTGCCCCGCGCAGCGCGTGTGGCCGGCAGCAGTGTGATGTCACTGCTGACGTCGGAGCGTCGCCGCCTATTGGTCGCCGCGGCGAACCGGTGTCAAAGAACAATCAGGTTGTCCTTCGGTGTTCTTGCCGTGCGATTGACGGCGGTGGGCCGCTGTGAGGCCGCTGCAGGCTGGGCGCGTGTGTGCGCGCGCGGCCGGCCGCGTGAGGGGGCTCGGCTGGGCTTGCATTGGCCCGGTCCGCCGCCCGTGACGTGTGCCACCGCCGCTGTGACGGCGCCGCCCGAGCCGGAGGCTGTCGCGTCCGCAGACGTCGCCGCGGGAGCCGGCGGTCATGTGACGTGTAGCTGACACTAATACAGTCGGTTTGTCTCACGGGTGTTCAGCAGCGGAGGCGGGGAGCGGTGTGCGTCACGACTGTGACGGCGAACGGGCTGCGGTGGGAAGAGGTGTGGTGGATGCTCTGGCCGGTTGCGTGTTCTGAGAATCGTCATGCACCTCTGTGGGTTTTCGCTCCATGGGCAGATGATCAAAATTTACGCCTTGCAGTGGTGACACAGCTTTTATGGCCGCGGACGCGAACCGAGCAAACGGTGTTCCTGGTCGTGCTTGGCCGCAAGACGGCTCGGGGCTCAGGACGTTCTGGGCTTTGCGTACGCGATCTTGGTAGCGCAGCTTCGTAGACTCCTATGTGTGGGGTGATGTGTGGTCTCCGATTGACAACAGCCGAGGCAGAAATCGTATTGGAGCCGCAGATGAACCTGCTTCCTCTGTTGCCTTCGGCACGAGTCGTCTAAGCCGGCCCGCGTCTGTACGTGAAGGGTCGTAGCCAAGACCGAGCGCCGCAGTGAAGCGCGCGCGGCCGAACCTCGCTCGACAGACGGCGTTCGTTTCATCCGTTTATTGACTGGCTTATGCGTAGGACGGAGATTGGTGGTCCGGTGAGCTCGCCTGTAGCGGCGGCGGACCTGCTGCCCTGGATGTGAGGAGGCGACCCAGAACGTTCGTCGGAAGGCCGATGCTCACTGCCATTGTGTACTGGAACACTTTCAGTTTCGACAGTGTGTTTCTGTTTCGGTCGGGCCGCATCGCTATTTTATCTGCTCGAGCCACCTAGGACGACGAGCATAAAATGAAATTATTGGTTAAATAAGCTACCTCTAATACCTATCGGTTGTAGAACATTGGCACAGTACTCTCATTTAACACACGCACCAAGACGCACAGCACCCTGTCTTGATGCGGAGCACTCCGCGCTAGAAAGCGTTAGGTACATTGGTACAGGCCACACTACAGATCGGTCACAATCATGCTCGTCTTTCACATGCCGTCCACAGACCTCACGTCGGAGCTGTGAATCAGAGGTCCTAGTTCTAGTCACTAGATGTCCCTCGTGGTGTAATGCTGTGGATGAACGTGGAGCTTTCGATATACCTGGCATTGAACGCGGCCGCTTGGCAGCCCACACAGTATTAGAGGCAGCATGCGCACATTTTGGGCTGAAAATCAGATGTCACCACCGCTGCGTAAGATGCGTTCGATGGCTTTTTCGTTCAGCCCTGCCGCGTCCCCGTTGAGGAAGTAACTGGCGTGTCTGACTGGCACACCACGCGGTGGAGGCGGAGCTGCTGTGAGTCGGAGGAGCGGCGACAGCTCTAATGGCGTCCATGACACTGCAGTCCGGCGGTGGCGGCGGGAAACCGGCTCATCGTTGTACCTGGGGCCGAGAGATGTCCGTTAAAATAGGAAGGAGATAGCACGGCGTGCACGAAAACGTTTCATAGTTTCCCGAAGTGGATGCCCCACACTTGAGAAACCAAAAGAAGAAACACACCCATTTGCATCGAAAGTAAGTCATGGTACAGGTGCACAACATTTCACAGATCTCGCATGTAAAAACAATGTCAAATGCGCATTGGCTATTGCACCCTTTTCTCGTTTTATCCTCCACCTTCGCGACGCCCCGCTATTCCGAGGCAGACTGCATGTGCCAGCCACGAGTAGGCCGAATAGCCCCCTGATGGGGACCCTCGTCCGAGCGCCGACCATACACCCCGCAGAGAGGCACCTACACAGGCAAAGCCTCCGCGCTGTGATTAGGTCCCAGGTGCATGAAGCCGTGCTCTACCGTTATTCATTCTCCTTCATCCCATGTCCCTGAATGGTCATGACTGGCCGAAGAAGTTCTAATCCAAGCCACTTAAACCTAACTGTCTCGCTGTCTGGCTCATTATGCGGCCGCATCGTGCTGGAACATCCAACCCGATACCTGACAGCAAGAAGCGGCAAGTGGCCACGGCGTGTTAGGCCGCGCCAGCACCGCGCCCGTCCCGCCTCTGACGCCTGGCGGCGGACTCGCCTTGATAAAGTCGCTGCGCTCGCCGGTCGGAGACATGGTTCCCAGCCGGAAGTTGTGCACGTCCTCGGCGGGCGTGGCGGAGCGCGAGCGGCCGTCCTTGGTCACCACCTCCTCATCGGCGCGCAGCCGCTCGATCCGCTTGAAGACAGGCGGCGTCTTGGGGTAGATGACGCCGTAGTCCAGTGGCAGCGGCGCCGGCGAGGCCGGCGAGCGGGCGCGGTGCAGCGGCGGCGGCGGCGTGAGCGGTGGGCTCTGCTTCGGCGACGGCGTCTTGCTATCCTTGCGCTCGTCGCCGTGCAGCGCCGAATACAGCTCAGGTGCCGTCTGCATCAAGCCGCGCATGAAGTTCTCCTTGACGGCCGGACGCGGCTTGGGCGCCACCTTGGGCGGGACCTTGGCGGATGGCGAGCGCGGCGCGTCGGGCTCCACCGACACGGGGATGACAGTGGAACGCGCCGACGACTCGTGCTCGGCCGACGAGCGGACGACGTTCTCGGTGTTGCGCCGCCGGACCTCGTCGTCGGCGCGCCGCCCATTGGCCGGCGCGTCGGCCGGCTCTGGACGGATACTGGCCGTCCGTTGGATCTGCGAGATGATGTCGGGGCTCTTGAGACCAACACTGGCCGCCTGGCCGGCCGGCCGCGCCTCCGCCGAGTACAGGCTGTTGCTGCGCCGCACCGGCGAGCGGGCCGGCTTGCGCGGCGCCGGTGGGTTGCCCCGCACGTTGTTGCGGACGGAGACGTTGATCATGCTGCCGCCGAAATGCGAGGCTCCGGCGAGGCGGTTGTCGCGCGTGGAGGGCGGCGTTTCGCGCGGCTTGCGCGGCAGCGTCTGCGACTGGAATGCATCGTCGCGTTCGCGGCGTGCCGGGCCCAGGCGCCGGTCGATGGTGTGCGCGCGGTACGGCTCGGCCGAGCGGCGCTCCAGCTCGTCTGAGCTCTTGTGGTGGCGCCGCTCACCCAGCCGCGTGTTGAGCGTGCTCGTGTAGCGCGCGTCGCGGCCCGAGTCCGGCTCATCTGTGCTCCTGCTGCGGTCGCGCTGGCCCAGATAGTAGGAGGGCCGCGGCGGCGACTCGCGCGCTGATGACGAGCCGCGCCGCGCCGGCCGCTGCGGCGCATCGCGGTCGTCGCGACGCGGGCTGCTCTCCTCGCGGTACGTTCGGCGCGCGGGCGTGCTGTCGTGCGGGCTCTCGCTGCTGCGGAAGTGGTACTCGCGCACCAGGCGACCGTCCTCGCGCCGTTCCTCTACGCGGCTGGGTGTCACCTCTCGCTCCAGCTGCGTCCGCTGGCGCACGGCCAACCCACCAGCCGGCGCCTCCCGGACCTCGCGTCGGTGCTCGTACGTCAGCGACGGCTCGCGCGCGGCCGGCGGCTGCGGTGCCGGCGGCACCGACTGCGGCGGCGACTGCTTGAGCCGGTTCTTGCGCTTGTGGCGCGGCGGTGGCGAGGGCGGCGGCGAGGGGGCAGGGGGCGCGGCGGCAGCTGGCCGCGCCGGTCGCTCTTGGAGCGCCGTGCTGAACGTCACGCCGCCGCCACTGCGCGGCTTACCCGAGCTGAACTTGCTGGCGAAGATGGGGTCCTCGTCTGCCTCGGACTGCATGTCGGACATGGCCGCGTTCCGAGCGCCCCTAGCCGCGCCGGCCGGCAGCACCTGAGTCCGCTCGAGGCTGCCGCGCGGCGCCTGGCGCGTCTCCTTGATGTAGGTGCGCTCGGGCGTCTCCCGCACCTCCTGTGTGTACTTCTCACTGCGCTCCCAGGTGACGGGCGGCGAGGCACCCTTCTGCGTGGTGCCAGAGCTCTTCTGGAACTCGTACGTGCTCGTTTCGCGGCGCCGGTCCGGCTCGTCGCGTCCCTTCTTGCTAGAGCGCTGCCGAGCCTCGTCCTCCGAGCTGTGAGAGCGGCCGGACTCGCTGCCGAAGTGGGAGTTGAGCCAGCTGGAGATCTGGCGGCGTCGCGTCTTCTCCTCGGCCGGATACTCGATCGGGGTGCTGGTGTGGCCCTGCGGCCTGAAGCCGAGCCGGTGCAGCTCGCGCATGCGCTCTGACGTGCCCGCGGCGTCCTCGTCACCACGGCGCTCTTCTTCCACGTTCTCCTGAACGTACCTGCGTTATGGCAGAAGGGCTTTGTTACCCCGGTCCTGTCGCTGGTGCCAACTGGCAAGCGAACATGTGGGACACGTTTGCCGCATATCGCTATCAGCTTTTGCTCCGTGCTACAAAACACCATCCACCGCTCGTTCTTGAGTGGAAGGAGAGGAAAATTGGTTTAAACAGCATTTCGAATCTATTAACGACACTTTCTCCAGGAAAACCCGGCGAGTTTTTAAGCCTTATCTGCGGTTCGAACGAAGCAGGCAAAGTCATACTGAGAAAAGCCGCACAACCACATCCCCCCATGCGTTAGAGGCCCAGTGCGGGTCGCTCCCAGCATTGCTGGCTGTGGCGGACCACACCCCAGTCCGGCTGTGCGCATGCGCGCATGGTTGCGTACTCCTATGTGATCGGATGCATGCACGCATATAATAGACGCACACCTATATACAAACATGTGATGATGATGCATGTATGCAAATGACATCTAGACTGTCATATTTTTCCTAGCAGCATTCAGTCAACGAAATGGATATACTGAACGTTCGGAATTCAAAAGAGAGCTTTGCCATCGCAAACACTTCGCAAAAGGATAAAAGCCTAGCTCCCATCTGAGCCAGTGCCGTCCGTACGCACCGGAGACCGTCTCCCAGCTTGATTCCGTCCCCGGGACGACCGCCCTTGGGCACGGAGAAGTGCTCCAGCATGTCCACGTCCTTGGTGTGGCGTCGGCGGAGGCTGGACGAGCGCACGTCCTCGCGGACGTCGCCGTCGCGGAGGTCGGAGCCGTCGTCCGGTACCTGCAGCGGCGAGGATGTCGCGGGTCAGAACTCTGGGACATGTGCGTGTGGTGGCGCTGCGGTGAATGGGTTTCTGCAGAGCTGATAAGTGCTCAGAAAATGCGCGATACAACATGCCACTTGAATGAAGATTTATATGCCTATGCAAGGAATCGTGCAATATGTGAGCAAACGATTGTACTGATTGTTTAATCTTTATTGATTTGCCGTTTGCAGCTTAAAAACAGCACGGTCTTTGCCTCAGCTCCCTATGTTTTCACGTAAGTCCGTTGACGGGGCGATCATACAAAATTGTCTTGCTATAAATTGAGCTGAGCGTTCAAGAAACAATTCAAGCGTGGGCAAAAGTGAGTGTAGTTATGACTCTTTGCAGTCTTCCCACGATGTTTATTCAACCGAGACCCGGATGCAATCTGCTCCCGCGTTATGACAATAATGGAGTGCTGAGGGAGAACAATCAAGAAAAAAGACTCGAGCTACCACCGGCACACATGCACTGAAAAACAAGAATCTGTGGTCGTGAAAGGTACTCTGCGCGACAAGCCGACACGACCTTTTTCGAGAATCGTCATTCCACCATGAACGACATCGGTCTCAATCCCTCATCAATCAGTCGACGTCAGGTCTCCATACATTCTTTCAGGCCACCTTATCTGATCAAAGCAAGCCTGCACCACAAGCACGTATTTACCCGTGGCTAACATGACGGCAGGTGATTAGGGCACATGCCAAACCCCTGGTCGCGAGCCGACCTTGGCACCGGGCCAATGTCGGTGCGGGCGCCGCGCCGCCGTCCACGGCAGTGGAGTGGACGACGCTCATGCCGGGATGTGTGGCGCTGCGCGGCGGGCCGGCCCAGCAGCTCAGTCGGCGTGCATGTCATGACGGTCGTAATCGCCGCCGTATCGGAAAAAGCACTCAAAAGTGGCATCTACTGTTTCCTTTGCGGGCGCGAGACGAGATATCGGCGGACATTCCGATGGCTGTGAAGGACAGCAGGCCGTAGAATAGGTGCCCTGCAGGATTCCTGGGTCCCTTAAAAGCTGCAGCTGTCACGCGGCGCTGGCGTCTGGTGTACACGTACGCGGGATCCGTCAGCTTCAAGGAGACTGTGGCCGGTGTCTTCATTGAATTTATCGACCAAAGTCAGTGAGATGCGGCTACTTGTTATTTGTTTAATGTATCGCGGTGCGGTTCCAGCGGCTACATGTCCGGGAAAACACTCGTGTCGGTAACTATGAGTTACCTTTTGACAGCGTTATTGCTGTGTCTGGTACGGGAGACCATGAGGCCCCCGATGGGGAGAAGGGTGATCAACCCCAGCCTGCCGCATTGCATCAGCTGCTGTGCATAGCGATGTCGCTAATCCAGGTACATGAGGACGTATATGGGTAGCTCAGAGTCGAGGCATGTGGTGTAATGATGCTGGGGATGGCCTTGCCGGCGGAGTGCGAAGCTGTTCTTGGAATAGGCAGCAGATACGACTACGACTTAGTCTAGGCCACACCTGAAGGACAGGGCATCACTAATAGTTTGTTTGCAGGGTCTTCTCCGTCGAAACCTGAACGTGCAATTGCGACTTGCTAGCCCATTGTTCTAACAAGCGATTTCAACGTGCAACTCGGTGTTCTCCAATAAGCCACATGTACTCCATCCTGTTGTGGCAGCCGTTGACAATGTTGCGCTACTTACATCGACAAGTCTACATCCCTCCGCTCATTCAAACCCAGCGCATGACGTGAGGCACCTGTCCCTCAGTACGCCCTCCACACTTCCCTGCGTCAGCGTTCAGACCTGCCCACCGTTCCAGTCTGTCCACCGTCGTCTCTCCGACGCGTTGCGCCGACGTCACGCCCACGTCACGCGTCACACGGCCCCCTCCCTAACCCGCCAGCGAAAGGCGCACTCACCTGGACGTTGTTGAACTCCTCGCGCTGGTGTGTGTGCGCCGAATCGGTGACCAGCTCTCCGTTCCGGTCATGCCGGCTCGTCTCGTGCAGGTCGTCGGTGTCGACGGTGCGCCACGTCTTGCCGTGCTGGTGCGTCAGACGCCGCTGACCGGCGCGGGGGTCCGCCAGCTGGCCCGGCCGCGTCGCCGCCGACTGCTGTCGCACCAGGCTGCGAGCATCCACGCCCTCGCGGATGGCGCGAGACAGCTCCTGAAACGGCAGAGCTGCGGTCAGAGGATCGGCGGGTAGCGCGAGACAGCTCATGAAACGGCAGAGCTGCGGTTAGAGGATCGGCGGGTGGCGCGGGACAGCTCCTGAAACGGCAGAGCTGCGGTTAGAGGATCGGCGACGCTCTAGCGGGGGGCAGCTTCTGAAGGTGCGGCGCTGGGATCGGATGATTGGCAGGCCCTGCTGCCCCCCCCCCCCCCCCCCCGTCACTGACTGCGCGCAGCAGCTCCTGAGACAGCGACCCTGACGTCAGTTTGGATTAAAAGGGTTCCTCCTCCCAGCCCTGCGTCAGTGGCTGAAGCAGGTGCTGAGGCGGCGGCGCAGCTGTCAGCTCGGATTAGCCGGCCAGGCATGGCCGGCTTCACCGGCAGTAGGAGCAGCTCCGGCGGCGGCGGCGTTGTCAGCCCAGGTCGGCGCGCGGCGACGCTGACTTAACACGTCGCCGTGACGACGCGCGAGGCGGAAGCGGCGGGCGGCGAATTAGCAGCGGCCACCGCTGTAACCCCGGCCGACGGACAGCACCGTGCCGTGCCGTGCCGTGCCGTGCCGTGCCGTGCCGTGCCGCGGCTGGCCTCTGCCGGACGAGGTGGCGCGCACGGCAGTGGAAGGTTGGCGGAAAGTCGGCACGCGGCGTCCACGCCAGTCGTGTCTCACGGCCGCCCCCATCCCCCTCCCCCTCCCCGCCTCCCGAGCGGTAAAAATGCCCGCCGGGATCATCGCCTCGCACACGCACCACGACGATGACCTGGAAAGCGACGCACGCGGCCGAACGGCAGCAGTCTGCGGCGGCGGCGCGCCACGTAATGTTCGACCCGACAGTGAGTGACAGGCGGAGCGGCGGCGGCTCGTTCGCACAGGTGGCGCGTGCCCGGTCGGCGGCGGCCGCCGAGTGGAAAGTGGCGGCGCGCGACCTTGTCGTCCCGGCCGCGCCAGAGATGCTATCGGCAGTCACGTCCGTCCCACGCCGGTTTGGCAACGCCGCCCGACGAGTGCAGGATCTATGGGGCGCTTGTGCAAGCGACCACCGGGTCGATTCAGAGCACGGAGGCGCTGAGAGCTGCGATGTTTTATTCAGCGTCGTCTGCGCCGGGCGCAGCGTGCACACGCTGTCCTCGCGCAACTCTGGGTAGCGCAGCCTCTGCTGGCGGCGCAGCGCTGCAGGACGACTGAATGGGCCAGGCTGCCGACCACAAAACGTACTTTTCTAGTCGATCGTGAGTGAACGGCGACATGGGCTGAATCAATTACGGTGCGGTTTGGCGGGTTGATGTGCGGCCTACTTTGAAAATCGTGCATAAAGAGCAAGGAACAGGTCGCTGCGCCAGGTTCCGAGCCTAGACTTCCGCCAATATTTGCCCCTGCACTGTGAAAAATGCCATGCGATTCGTATTATCTTTACTTGTTATCCGCCACTGAACCCTGCCGCATACCGCTCTCGCATTACCAACAGAATGCATTACACATGCCGTCAGCAGCGCCTATTACCGTTAGGAGGCTTTCCGCGGAAGTCGGACAACGCGCCGGAAGGCCAGCACACCCTCAGTGCAAATTATGAGGCTCGATGAGATCATACCGTGCAACTGTGAGCCCGCGCCTTTCCCTTACCACTCCCACCATGGCGTCAGAGGGTAAGGCTGAGGGCTGGCCTCTGTGCCATACCACCTGCTCGTGCAGAGGGGCCGTCTATGTCCCGCCTCGTCTTACGGCAGGAAAAGGACGGCCGCCGCCGCGCGCCGGACGACCCCATGTCGTGAAACCGTGCCATGTCACGTAACGTGACACCTGAGAGCGCAGTACGAGAGAGTCTGGCTCCGTCCCATTCACTTCGTTGTCACACGAGGGTGTGGCTGTCAGCCTGGCCTCCTCAGAGCACCTCCTCAGCCGTCCTGTGTCATCTGAGGGTGCGTCTGGGAGACTTCGTCTGCCCGTGCTGTCTCTGAGACTCCATGGCATCGCCGGAGATCCTTGCCAGCTGATGTCTCAGCAGCTGGGGCCGGCAGCCAGTTCAGCAGCTGGGGCCGGCAGCCAGCTCAGCAGCTGGGGCCAGCAGCCAGCTCAGCAGCTGGGGCCAGCCCAGCCGGCAAAGCGTGCGACCCACCTCGCCCGGTGCAACCGGTTTGCCAGCCGAAGCCGGGCGCACGGGCCGCCGGAACCAGCGGCGCCCGGCCGCCGGCAGCGGCGCGCAGAAGGTCACCATGCACGGGCCTGGATCCGGCCCGGCTCGGCCGCCTGTCCGGCCCCCGCTGCCGAGGCGCCGCCGGACTGATAGCCAGTCACAACCCGACAGCTGCCCCTGCCTGACCTGGTCACACCGTCTCGCACACGGTCGTGGCATGGTCATGAAAGCAGAAGTCACTCAGAACGGACATGGTGCAACGTCACCGGGCTGCAGCTGAGTCTCCCCTAGACTGCAGCCGAATCTCCCCTAGACTTACGCTGAGTCTCCCCTAGACTGCAGCCGAATCTCCCCTAGACTTACGCTGAGTCTCCCCTAGACTGCAGCCGAATCTCCCCTAGACTTACGCTGAGTCTCCCCTAGACTGCAGCCGAATCTCCCCTAGACTTACGCTGAGTCTCCCCTAGACTGCAGCCGAATCTCCCCTAGACTTACGCTGAGTCTACCCAGACTGCAGCCGAATCTCCCTTGACTCAGTCTCCGCTAGTACCCAGTCTCCCCCATACTCAGTCTTCCTCAGGTGCGAGGAAAGCGACAAACGGGCTTCAGCGGCGTGTGCCAGGAGTCCCACGCCACCGACGCCATGGGTGCCGGGCTGGGCTGTGCACCGAGCAGCGCTCACGACTGGTACGCGATGAGCCTGTCCCGGGCCGGTGCTGGAGCTGCACGACACGCATTACAATGCCTGGTCCTGATAACACCGAATCGACTGTGCGCTGTACGCTGCACACAGATCCGGGGTCATGACGTCCTGCGATGTCCGCTGCTGTCGTCCACAGTTTGTATTCGAACGCTGTGTGCGAGGCCGATGCTTTTTCTCGGCGGCTTAGCCGACTGGGCCGCTGGCAGGGCTGCATCGCAGCAGGTGTTCACAGCCGCTTTGACGCTGCGTGTTGGAAAATCCGCTTTCGGGCGTAGATCCATCGCGCCCCGCGGGCCGTGGGCCGCTGTCGGAGTACCTCTTAGCTGGCTGTAAGACTTCGAACCAGGAACCATGCACGCATCGATAAAACCGTGTGTTCTTGCCAGCACCAAACACTTTGCTTCGCGCATGCTGTTCCCTTAGACAACACAAAGCAGCGACCGTGCAGAATGAATATCAACGCCCATTGGTACACCAACGGGCACTGCAAATGCACCTGCAGCCGCCACCCCTGAGTGCGGCTCTTCCGCTCTCAGGTAGGCGCCTCCGTGACCAATAGCTCATCGGGGCTGCCGCTGCCTCCTACTCCCAACGGCCCTCCGGGCTCGGGCGGCGGCGAACAACAGCTGATCCATCCCTGGGCGCTGTTTACCGGCAGCAGTAGCGACCTCCCGCCGCTCACATTCCGCATCCATCACCGATCGGGCCTGCAGCAGCCCGCGGCCGGCCGCGTTTGCAGCGTCCCGAGGGCATTCCACCAAGGCCACCCGCTCTCAGCCGCCGCCGCCGCGCCTTGTATGGCCGTGGCAGCTTCGCCGGACCTCCCGACAGGCCACGGAAAGCCTCGGAAGCAAACCGCGAGGCTCTGGCGGCGGTTTAGGTTTCTTTCTGCATATTTTTCCATGCGGAGCAAGTCCAACGCCTCATCGGTCGCAATGGCAGCTTCTCGCGGCCTACCACGCCAATTTGTGAGGTGGCCGGCCTGCACCCTGAGCCCGCTTCCATCAGCCGCGCACGTGCTGCAGTTGGCCTCACCACGAGGGACGTGGGCGACCAGTGGCCACGGCACCGACCGAGCCATACTGGGCGGGGGCTTCCTGCTCGCACATGGCCACGGTCGGCCTCACCACGAGGGACGTGGGCGACCAGTGGCCACGGCACAGACCGAGCCATACTGGCCGGGGGCTTCCTGCTCGCACATGGTCACGGTCGAGGTCCAGGAAGCGGACGCCGGCGGTGGCCGCCACGGACGGCGTGACTGCCAGCTCCCAATCGGGCCGCCATCTCACGCGGAGAGGCGGGTCTCCGGGCCACCGGCGCCGCGGACGCCGCCGCCGCCGCCGCCGTCGGCCAGCGCCGCCGCCGCCAGCGGCCAGCGCTAATCAGGGACGAGTGCATCCGCCGAAGGCCGGCACAACCCGCACATTAGCGGCCGTCTAGATCGGTTGCGATATCTGACCGCTGCAGCAGGCGGGGCGGCGGCCGGACAGGCAGGTCCGGGCATCGCCGGCGACCATCGAGTCCCGCGCCGGCGAGCGCTCAG